TCGTGCCAAACGAGTCGTTAACGATTCAGAATGTTTTTCGAAAATAAGTTTTGAAAAATTTTTTAGTAATTTTTCAATGCATTTTAGCATATTACATTCTTGAAAAAATCATTGATATATTTGACAAAAATAGTTGTTGGCATAAATGCAGCAAGTTGGCAAATGTTTGGTGTTTTCTAAATCAAATTCAAAACGCCAATTCTATAAAACACTTTAATATATTTACCTAATTATGGAATACTTGCTACCGTTATTAAAAAAGCTATTTAATATTTAACATAAACAATACAACCGGTGTTTACCTGGTGTTGATGAATAATAATTAGTACAAATAATAACTTTAAAAATAGATATAAATATGTCTAGAAATTATAGTATTACGTGTTTTACGTAAATATGCTTCGTTAATAATCTGATTCTGATCAATTATGGCGTTCTTAAATAACAAAATAATTGATTTCTTGTATACATTTATTGAATTAAAAAAAAAGGATACGTTATTAAGTAGTCTATATGCGCTTATTTTGTTTATAAAATTGGTATTTTTAACAAAAAATGTACTACGGTAAAAAATTATTGAATCATAACAAAGCTCAACAAAATAAAAAAAACGGTTGTGGAGAGATAATAACGAGTTTTAAATACTTTTTTGGCGCTGATTTCAAAAATGTCTTTATTTTTTTCGTATAGCTTTGTGGAATGGAGTGTACATTCTAGATTTGATACATTTCGACCGAGACAATAAACACAAAGAAATTTGACAATTTATTTATAAATTGGACTAAAAACACATAAATTAAGACTCATTTACAACCAAAAATTTTTTTTTTCTTATGAAAGGAAAACCATTAGAATGTGTATACGCACCTTTGGCTGAATATGGGTACGATTTTTAATAAAGGAACGTATTGTATTTTAAACGCAAATACAATTTTATGAACTTATTTATTTAATAAAAATTTTCAAAACTTTTGGGGTGTAGATGAACTCTATACTTTTTACATAAATATTATTACTTTTTCACATCCAATGTTTTTTTTCTTACCCTATTATCGTCTCTTTTTATAATGTGGCCAATATTGTCGAATCCAGTTTCATCTGATAAAGCAAATTTAGAAGGACGTCTATGTACTGAGTTTGACACTAATGTAGCGGTTTATTCACTATGCTTTTCTCTTGCTGTTTGATTAAACGAAATCTATGTCGGCTCATGCTTTCTCTTATTATTTCTCTTCGTTATCCTCATCCTTCAAACAATACCTAAATATAAACTTGAGGCCGAGTGTGAAAACCAAAATAATATATCTACATATGCCAATATTTTTTTAATCTATGTCATTCATTTCAAAATCGTGACGGTTATTCTGCGATGCATAAATATTTAATTACTTCTTTATAAACAAGTGAAAAACTTCAATATATGACTTTCCTCCACAGTTGACTTTTATATTGCCTAAATATCAATCAGACTGATGTTGAATTACTGCTGAGTACGAAGGAGTATCTTCTGTTTTTACCCAAATTGTAATAAATTTGGATTTATTATTTTTGCCTGGTTCTTTCTTTGGACGTTTTGATCTGTGGTTCAAAGGAATATCATCACCAGAATCGTTAGAATTCTCATTTACTTGTATTTCATATGTACCTGCAATATCCGATTTCATTCCTTCTTCACCAATATAATGTCTTCTACATTGGAAACTTCATCTATTTTCAGCGGCACATAAGCCGCATCAAGTGAGTCAGCATTATCACAATATTAGTCTTCTTCTAACAAAACCATTAACTTTTTAGTAGTTGTAGTAAGTGCCCATTTCATATTTCGAGAATTTATTAAAATAAACAAAAAAAAATGCACTACCGCATTCACATGATAATAATTTAGCTTACCTTATTTTAATTTATAACGAATATAAAACAAATAAACACAAGCAAACTTTCAAATCAAGTTAAAAAAAAAAACAAATATAACATTAACATGAAATGTAATGACGAAGTTGTATGTTAAAATTTCAAAGTGTTTAGTCTAACGAAAAAAATATAGTATGGTTTCGGCCAAAGGTGCGTATAGGAATCCATCTTATAAACATGCCATTATAGGTCTTATTTTTAAAGTATAAATGAATAAGTTTTAGAATACAAAAAATTTCAATAACTATAGCATACAAACTATGACTATGTTTATAAGTAGTTTCGGAAAAAAAATTTGTATGAAAATGTGCATAAATCATTAAATTATGCAAAATTATAATAATATTTTTGTTAATAGAAAAATGATACTATATACCTCAATCTATTGAAATGTTACTTTAACAAAAAGAAAACAATAGAAAACTATCCTCGGACCAAAAAAAAACAATAAAGGTTGCGTTTACGCACTTTTGGTCGTAAATGGATTAAGAGAAAAAATATTTTTTTTTCAATTAACTGAAATGGCAATTTAATTTAATACCACTTTACTTTCATAACATTTGGACATTTGGCTAATACAATCCTGTCAATGGTAAGATTTGTTTCAAATTCTTCTTCTTAACGTGCCCTATCAAGTCCCCTTGACGTTGGCGATTAACATGGAAACTGTCTCTGTCTCGAGCTATTCTAAATAGTTTCAAATTACGTATAAGCTGTTTTATAAGCTGTTTTAAATTACGTATAATAATTCTTGAGATCCTCAAAACATATTACTAGTCCAGTAAATAAACGGCGATACCCTGTAATTGTTCGTGTCACCACCGCCTTGCAAGAAAATTTGGATTCAGGTTCTGCTTACCCTCCACTTCACTTTTGGACTTGTATTGTTCGAAAGAAGAAATCGTATAATTGTAAATTAAAACAAGTAATTGATTCAAATAATCTTTTATTGAAGTGAATGAATGTCAGTTAACATTAAACAACATTTACAATTGTTGTTTACAACAATTCTAAACATTTACAATATTTACAATTTTAAACTGTAATACAATTTAAAATTGTATTACAGTTTAACCCCTAAATCTCACCACTTATTTACTTATATTAACCCTAGGTTAGTGTTATGGGGTATACCATACCCCAGGTACTCTTTTATATATATATATATATATATATATAATATATATATATATATATATATATATATATATATATATTTATGATATGTAAAATCGAGAAAAATATTGGTTTGTTTAAAGTATTTCAAAGCTCAAAACATTAAAATAATTCAATAAGTAGGATAATAGCCAACAAACATTTCGAAAAGGAAAGTCTTTAAATTTTTGGATTTACCTGTACTAAACAAAAATGTACTAGCTATGCATAAATTATTTTCTTTGTTATAAAATACTTGAGTGACCCGCATAATTTTAAGTGAAATCCAAAGACAATTGAACCGGGTTTTCCCAAATACATTAATGCAGTGATTAAGGACAATAGAATAGATTTTAGAAAGAGCTTTTTGTTAGTTTTTAAGAATTGCAGAAAAATATTATTTGTAAATAAGTTTTAGGAAATTTTATAATTATAGGTAAAAATTTATTTGTTATCGAAATGAAAAAATGGGAGAATTGTGACGAGCTTTGATTGGCGGAGATTAAAAAAGGTGGGATAGGTATGTAGGGATGAAAGTTTAGCTAGATTTTTGGAGAGAGAAAAGATAATCAGTTGGTTTTCCAAATCTGTAAGACGAACAGTGATTGTTCTCTGGCGGTTCCCGAGAGGTAGCAAGCAGTAGTGTTGAATGTCAGTAAGTTTTTGTGGAGTTGGTGTATCTGACAGAAGCTGAAGCAGCAAAATATTGTAAGTCATATTTTTCTACTTATATTCCAAGAGTCACTGTTCAGGCCAACGAGAGATTCAGTTTATCATAAAGAGAAGATATTCCAAGAGTCATTTTTCACTCGGGCCAACGAGAGATTCAGTTTATCGAGAGGAGAAAGACTATCAAAATTTGAATGATTCGTGCTGAAGGAGATCATTAAGGACGATATACTTGCAACAATTTGTTGTAAGATTGCTGATTACCTAGGGAGCGGTTGAGAGTAGATAATATAGTCTAGAAGGAACAAGGATTTGTACCACTCATCATCAGAGAGAGATATTTTGTTTTCTGCAGTTTTTCTTTTATTGATAACACAATTTTTACACTTAATTTAGAAAGGATATTTCATATATTTTATTTCAATATATAGTGTTATATCATGTGTTTTTTTTTTATTCCGGTATTCTTTGGACCTTACCTTTCACATGTAATAGCATAGATATTGAAGCACGAATTTAACCCTGAGATAAGAAAATTAAAAAGTGTGAGAGAGTCATAATCATATCATTTAAATATTTTAATTAATTAATTAATTAATTAGCTAATAAAATTGCTTGGCGCACCAAGACTTTAAATATCAACAAATATATATATATATATATATATATATATATATATATATATATATATATATATATATATATAACAAGCGAGTCTTCCACAGCTGGCGCCGCTTCTCGCATCCTAATTTCCAGCGTTTTCTGTCGAAGCAATCTTCAGTTGTTAGATCTCTGGCGGTCATTGCATCGTCGACATCGTCTCTCCAGGATCGTCTTGGTCTACCTCGTTTTCTTCTAGTTAGCGGAGTCCATTCTTTTATTTTTTTGGCTATCTATTTTCCGGCATTCTCTGAAGGTGTCCATACCAGTTAAGTCTTTTGGCTTCGATTGTGTCTATTATGTCTAGAATAGACTACAGGTACTTTTTTATTACTATAAAAACGAAAGGAGATGAAAAAGCGCCTTCTAGCACCTAGTAGCTATAGTTTATACATGTTTTCTCGCGATGACCTTATCAACTGTCCATTCAATTTAATTTTAGTTATGAGTTGGAGTTGGTCAAAGACGGTTGGGGTGTGTCATACCCCGGTACACTGCTGTTGCTTTGTTTTCTAGAGGTAAATTTACATGATATTTTTGCTAGTTTTTCTGGATGTACTATGATTTTTATTTTTCTTTTAGCGATTCTGAATTATATAATAATTATGTCTTTCGAACAAGAGCAGAAGAGGTTAAAACGGTTATTGCGGAGTTTATTTGACACTATTACCTCAGCCTCAGAGTTACCTAAGAGTTACCTCAACCTCATCATCAAAATCTGGAAATCATTTTTGGACAAGAAGTATGTTCCAAAATGCCCTTTCAAAACTCATGTTTTGAAAAAGGTTGGTACCACATCAGATCACAGTCGACTCATAAATCATCGATCTTCTTACAATGGACCATTCTTGTCAAGCATCTTGAAGAAACGAATGACCTCAACAACTACGGGGTTGAAGAATGGAGAATTTGAATTACCATTACCAGCCTACTCAGGTAAGATATAAGTTATTACAAGAAGTTATAATTTTATTCCCTGTATGTTGTTTCAGGACCCCTCGCAATTTCAAAAGCCAAGCACAGCGATTTAATGAGCCTTATGAGATTCTGTGGTCCTGCAGCTGTGTACTTTTTCCCCGTCTTACTTTATAATCACTTATAACAGGTAAATTATTATTATTATAATTATTAATTTTTTTTATTTCTTTATTTAACGTCGGCGTCGATCTACTTCTGCGATTAAGACTAATCACCGACGCCCAGAGCACGCTTCCACCAACGAAAAATTTTAACGAATGCCCTGGTGTTCCAACCAGAGGTAGGCATCCTTAACGAGCCATGTTACAGTAAAACCTGTGTTAACGGCCACCTGTCAAAACCGCCCACTTGTACTAGCCTGTCAGTTTCCAAGTTCCCCAAACAAAAATTTGTGGACTACAAAACCTGGTATTAGCGGCAACCTTTTTATATCGGTCAAGAGTTCTGTCATTTTTAGTGACCGTTATTGACAGGCTTTACTGTAGTTATTATTACCTATCATTCACAATGGAAATACTAATCAAAATGAAACCTATTTATATTATTGAAAGCATTGACAATATTCTGTTTCGAAAAAATTAAAGTGTTTATCTACTAGATACTGTAGTAATAGGCCACATGGAAAAGAAGAAGAGGCGTGGCACCATGAAGTTAGACATAGAGGTTAGGTTAGGTTAAGATAAAAAGATGTAACGTGTATATTGTTAATCTTATAGTTTTATTAAATATAACATTTAATAAATACCGAGTATTATTATTACATGGCGCAGTCAGTACAAGAGCCAAAAGTACAGTTATCCAGAATGGAAGGAAAAGTGCCAGAATCCATGAAATTCGAGGGGAACCTTCATGAAAATTTTAGACGGTTTTACCAAAATTTTGAAATGTATCTTATTGCAACTGAGAAAGATGACAAAGCCGATAGAGTAAAAATTGCTTTGTTTTTAAATATGATTGGACCAGAAGGAGTTGATATATATAACATTCTCAAAATACCAGAACCGAATAAATTTGATAGTGTTATATCAGAATTTAAGAAATATTGTGCTCCCAGAAGAAATAAAACATATGAACGTTTTGTATTTAATAAAAGAATTCAAGCTGCAGATGAACCTTTTGATAGTTATCTTAGTGATCTAAAAAAGTTGATACAAAGTTGTGAATATGACAAACAGGAAGACAGCATATTGACAGATAGGTTAGTTTTAGGAACAAATAGTCTATCAGTTCAAGAAAAATTATTAAATACTCAAAAGTTAACGCTTGAAACAGCAATAGAGATATGCAGAAATTCTGAAATAACAAAAAAGCAGTTAGAATCTGTAAGAAACAATGAAAGTTTGGAAGTAAGTGCAGTAAAAAATAGACAAGACAGTAGAAATACACAAAGTGAGTTAAAATTTTTTGTGTAGAAAGTGCAAACGTAAACATGTAGCTGCCCAGTGCCCAGCGTTTGGAAAGAATTGCTTTAAATGTGGTGCAGCAAATCACTTTAGTAATGCGTGTTTTGCTGAAATGTCCAATCAGCAAAGATATAAAAGGCAAAATGTTAAAAAAGTTAAAGAAATTAGAAGACATGACGAGAACATTGATGACTCTTCAACAGATGATGACATGCATGTGCATACCGTGAAAGGAGTTGGGGCAATCAATAGTAGAAGTCGTAATCAGTGGATTGAGGTAGTCAACATAAACAACCAAGACATTGAGTTCAAGATGGACACTGGATCAGAAGTAATATATTACCCAGTGATATTTTAAAAGTCATATTCAGAAACAGTAAGTACAAAATTGAAAAGTGTAATACTATATTAGAAGCTTATGGAGGTACATGTTTGAAAACTTTAGGGAAAATTACTTTAAATTGTAAGAGGCTGGATAGGAATTTTAATTTAGAATTTGTAGTTGTAGATTTAAAAGTCCAGCCAATTTTAGGTTTAAAAACATGTTATTCTTTTGACTTAATTAAAAAAACACAGAGTGTAAATGTTGATGAGGAACTTACTAATAAGGAACAATTATTACTAGAATATAAAGATGTATTTGAGGGAATGGGCACATTCACAGGTTTTTGTAAAATACAATTAAAAAATGATAGTGTTCCAGTAGCTAGACCAGCTAGAAGAGTACCATTTACTATAAAAAATAAGCTAAAAGAGAAATTAGGTAAATTAGAAAGTAGAAATATTATATCCAAAGTAACAGAAGCGTGTGAATGGGTAAATAATATAGTTATAGTTGAGAAGCCAGATGGTTCACTGCGTCTGTGTCTAGACCCTCAAGAGCTTAATAAATGTATTGTCAGGGAATACTTTGAAATTCCTAGTTTAGAGGAAATAAGTTCGAAACTGTCAGGAAAAAAATAATTTTCAGTATTAGATTTCAAAGATGGCTTTTATCAAGTTAAATTAGATGAAAAATCTAGTTCCTTAACAACATTTGCAACTCCATTTGGGTGTTACAAATTTCTCAGATTACCATTCGGTCTAAATCTGGCCCCAGAATATTTTCAGAAATTAAATTGTAAAAATTTTGGTGACATTGAAAATGTTATTATATATTTTGATGATCTATTAATTGCATCTGATTCCATGGAGGAGCATGACAAGACACTTAAAATAGTGTTTAATAGAGCTAGGGAAATGGGTGTAAAGTTTAGGAAATCAAAATTTCAGTTTAGACAAATGACAGTGAAATACATGGGACACATTTTTAGTGAAGATGGTATGAAAATAGATAATGATAGATTGAGGGCTATAAATGACCTAAAAAACCCGTCAAACAAGAAAGAGCTTCAAAAACTGCTGGGTGTGGTAAATTATGTACGAAAATTTGTTCCAAAATTGGGTGAGATTGCAAGCCCACTGTATCAATTACTGAAAAAGAATGTTATTTTTCAGTGGCTTGGAGTTCACAGTAAAGCACTGGATGTGATAAAACAGGAACTTGCTAAAAATATATCTCTAAAGAATTTTGATTCTAGTAAAGATATTGTAATTCAAACAGATGCGTCTCAGTTTGGTTTAGGATGTTGTCTAATGCAAGGTGGAAGACCTGTTGCTTATGCTTCTAGAGGTTTAACAGGTACTGAGGAAAATTATGCTGTCATAGAGAAAGAGTTATTAGCTGTAGTGTTTGCATGTCAAAAATTCCACAATTATATTTATGGTCGCTCTGTAAAATTCATAACAGATCATAAACCTAATGTAAGTATCATGAGTAAGCAAATAAGTCAAATTAGTTCTCCTAGGTTGCAGAGGCTAAAACTGAAGCTACTGAAATATGATATACAAATTCAGTATGTACCTGGTAAATATTTACATATTGCTGATTATTTGTCTAGAAATGTAAGTGATGAAAGTGCAGAGAATGATGCTGATATGAATGAAATGGTGCATTCACTAGAAAAGCATTTAAGAATGAGTGATACTAGAAAGATTCAGTTTAAAGCAGAAACAGTAAAAGATCATGTACTGAGCAAAGTCATTGAGTGTTGTCTGAGAGGGTGGAAGAATACGAAGTATGAAGGAGAGATGAAAGTTTTTCACCAGTTAAGAAATGAGTTGTTTGTTAATGATAATCTTTTATTTTTCAATGATAGAATTGTTGTACCTAAAGTTTTGCGAAAAGAAATGCTTCAAATTGTACATGAAGGTCATTTTGGTATAAATCGTTCAAGAGATCGAGCAAAAGATGTCTTATTTTGGCCAGGGATGAGTGTGGATATTGCGAATGAGATACAGAGTTGCAAAATTTGTGAAAAGTATAGGTATGCAAATACTAAAGAGCCATTAATATCTCATGATGTCCCCGAATTGCCATTTCAAAAATTGGGTGCTGATATTATGGAACATGGTGGCAAAGCTTATTTGGTTGTTGCTGATTATTTAACGAAGTGGCTAGAAATAATCCCTATAAGAGGTAAACAATCGTCTGATGTTATAAATGCACTCAAGCAGATATTTGCAACACATGGTATACCAGATGTAATTATAGCTGATAATATGCCTTTTGGATCATATGAATGCAAAAAGTTTGCAGATAAATTTGAGTTTAAATTTCAAACTAGTAGCCCCCATTACCCTCGATCAAATGGTTTAGCTGAGAGGTTTGTACAGATATCTAAAAATATTATTAGAAAATCAGATGACATGTGGGTTGCTCTAATGAACTATCGTAATACTCCTGTTACTGATCTCAAGAGGTCACCAGCTCAACTTCTATTTGGCAGAAAACTAAAAACTAAATTACCAGTTGTTGAAAAACAAAATGATAATATCAAAGAAGTTAGGTCAAAATTAGAAGAAAGAAATAATACTTATAAGGAATATTATGATAGACAGACAAGAAATAGGCCCGAATATAAGCAAGGTGAAAATGTGGTATACAAAGATAATAATCAATGGAGTCCGGCTGTTATTGTCAATAAACATGAGTCTCCAAGGTCTTATTTAATTGATAATGGTAAAAATGTCTTACGTAGAAACAGCTATCACCTGCGTAGGTCAAAAATTGATCATGATATTAGGCAGACTCAGAATTTAAGTGATGACAATGATAATACACCTAGTTGTAGTAAAACTCAGAGTTCTAGCAGTTCAGAGTGTGATACTGACATGAGCTTGAGACCATCACGTACTATCATACAGCCTGCCAAGTATTCTGATTATATTTTATATTAGTATAATTTACTCTGATTGTATTTTGCATATTAGCATAGTTTTTTTTTTGTATGATTAAAGTTTGTGTAAAAAAAAAAAAAAAAAAAAAAAAAAAAAAAAAAATGTGTAAAAGGGGGAGATGTAGTAATAGGCCACATGGAAAAGAAGAAGAGGCGTGGCACCATGAAGTTAGACATAGAGGTTAGGTTAGGTTAAGATAAAAAGATGTAACGTGTATATTGTTAATCTTATAGTTTTATTAAATATAACATTTAATAAATACCGAGTATTATTATT